CGGCTACTTTTCACACGCTTTCACTTGAACCAAAAAAAACGCACTCAAAAAACACAAACAAACTCTTAACAGCAGCTCTTGTATTTTGTTTGATTTCATATATAATATATTTTATTTATTTATTTGTTGTTGTTGTATCCATAAAGCCTTAGTTTTTGCAATCCAAAGGCAACCAAAAGCAAAAGCAACAAGTGCGACTCAAGCCCACGAAACGTAAAAACACACACGCGATCGCCGATCAAAACACAAAAGCAATTGCAAAGGCAAACGCAAAGGCAAAACGCAAAAGTAAATGCAAACAAAGTCAATCGCCGACCAACAATCCGATATACGTCCGCACGCCAAGACCTTTCGAAACGATCTGAAAACAGAAACCGAAAAGAGAAGAAAGCCCCAAGAAGAATGCACTTAAAAAAATAAGAAGACAAATAAAAGTCCAAGGTTATAATAATATCTGAGAAAAACAATGTATCTTCAATATGAATTATTGTTGTTTAAATAAAATAAAAATAGGCAAATGTAATATGTACTCAACATTTTAATAAATAAATATTTAATAAAGTATTATAAACTTCTAAGTATATCAAAAAAAATTATAAAATAGTTAAAAATCAATTAAATCTAAATAATTATGTTAAATATACCTATGTAATTACTAAAATTTAATAAAAATTCTAATTAGGGTCATCAATAAATATCCAGTTATTTATTAAGTCTTCAACTCAACACATTTTTTTTAAGTGCCCCCAAGAGAGAAAGACTGAGATACGTTTACTATCCACTTACCTTACACGTTTTTTACAGATACTTTACAAGCGCCAAGTAAAGTACTTTACATTTTACCTTTTTGTTTAAATTTTAAAACAAAGAAACTAGAAATAAATTTATTAATTTCTTTAAAAATATTTAAGGTAATTTTACTTGTTGTAAAAAAAGTAGCATATATTGATAAAAAAAAATATAAAACATACTAATACTTTTAGCGTTTTCTACATGCCCGCTAGATGTCGCCGAAGCGCTTGATCTTCTCCTGTAGAATTGGACAATTCTACAAGCGCCACTACACTCATCTTCTATTTTTAGACCATGCTTATAATCCCCAACTGCAATTTCCTCACGAGGTTGTTTAAATACAAAAAAAAATTGACGATTTGGAGAAATTTAAACCAAAAATTTATTTTTATAAATATTTTTTTTGAAGACCCCAATAATAATTCCCAACAGCATTATCCTCATACAAGAGAATAAATATGAATTTTATTCCGCATTCAGATACACATTGACGGGAACTGCAGAAACTTGTACCAACAAGTGGCTGTTGCTTCCTTTTGCTATTTTTTATTTTTTAAATATTTTATTTTTAAGACTTGATAACAATTCCCAACAGCATTATCCTCATTTCAGAGAATAAATACGAATTTTATTCCGCGTTCAGATACACATTGACGGGAACTGCAGAAACTTGTACCAACAAGTGGCTGTTGCTTCCTTTTGCTATTTTTTATTTTTTAAATATTTTATTTTTAAGACTCGATAATAATTCCCAACAGCATTATCCTTACATCATAGAATAAATACGAATTTTATTCCGCATTCAGATACACATTGACGGGAACTGCAGAAACTTGTACCAACAAGTGGCTGTTGCTTCCTTTTGCTATTTTTTATTTTTTAAATATTTTATTTTTAAGACTCGATAATAATTCCCAACAGCATTATCCTTACATCATAGAATAAATACGAATTTTATTCCGCATTCAGATACACATTGACGGGAACTGCAGAAACTTGTACCAACAAGTGGCTGTTGCTTCCTTTTGCTATTTTTTATTTTTTAAATATTTTATTTTTAAGACTTGATAACAATTCCCAACAGCATTATCCTCATTTCAGAGAATAAATACGAATTTTATTCCGCGTTCAGATACACATTGACGGGAACTGCAGAAACTTGTACCAACAAGTGGCTGTTGCTTCCTTTTGCTATTTTTTATTTTTTAAATATTTTATTTTTAAGACTTGATAACAATTCCCAACAGCATTATCCTCATTTCAGAGAATAAATACGAATTTTATTCCGCGTTCAGATACACATTGACGGGAACTGCAGAAACTTGTACCAACAAGTGGCTGTTGCTTCCTTTTGCTATTTTTTATTTTTAAAAATATTTTATTTGAAGACCCCGATAATAATTCCCAACAGCATTATCCTCATATCAGAGAATAAATAAGAATTTTATTCCGGATTCAGATACACATTGACGGGAACTGCAGAAACTTGTACCAACAAGTGGCTGTTGCTTCCTTTTGCTATTTTTTATTTTTTAAATATTTTATTTTTAAGACTCGATAATAATTCCCAACAGCATTCTCCTAATATCATAAAATAAATACGAATTTTATTCCGCATTCAGATACACATTGACGGGAACTGCAGAAACTTGTACCAACAAGTGGCTGTTGCTTCCTTTTGCTATTTTTATTTTTTAAATATTTAATTTTTAAGACTCGATAATAATTCCCAACAGCATTATCCGTACATCATAGAATAAATACGAATTTTATTCCGCATTCAGATACACATTGACGGGAACTGCAGAAACTTGTACCAACAAGTGGCTGTTGCTTCCTTTTGCTATTTTTTATTTTTTAAATATTTTATTTTTAAGACTCGATAATAATTCCCAACAGCATTCTCCTAATATCATAAAATAAATACGAATTTTATTCCGCATTCAGATACACATTGACGGGAACTGCAGAAACTTGTACCAACAAGTGGCTGTTGCTTCCTTTTGCTATTTTTATTTTTTAAATATTTAATTTTTAAGACTCGATAATAATTCCCAACAGCATTATCCGTACATCATAGAATAAATACGAATTTTATTCCGCATTCAGATACACATTGACGGGAACTGCAGAAACTTGTACCAACAAGTGGCTGTTGCTTCCTTTTGCTATTTTTTATTTTTTAAATATTTTATTTTTAAGACTCGATAATAATTCCCAACAGCATTCTCCTAATATCATAAAATAAATACGAATTTTATTCCGCATTCAGATACACATTGACGGGAACTGCAGAAACTTGTACCAACAAGTGGCTGTTGCTTCCTTTTGCTATTTTTATTTTTTAAATATTTAATTTTTAAGACTCGATAATAATTCCCAACAGCATTATCCGTACATCATAGAATAAATACGAATTTTATTCCGCATTCAGATACACATTGACGGGAACTGCAGAAACTTGTACCAACAAGTGGCTGTTGCTTCCTTTTGCTATTTTTTATTTTTTAAATATTTTATTTTTAAGACTCGATAATAATTCCCAACAGCATTCTCCTAATATCATAAAATAAATACGAATTTTATTCCGCATTCAGATACACATTGACGGGAACTGCAGAAACTTGTACCAACAAGTGGCTGTTGCTTCCTTTTGCTATTTTTTATTTTTTAAATATTTTATTTTTAAGACTCGATAATAATTCCCAACAGCATTATCCTTACATCATAGAATAAATACGAATTTTATTCCGCATTCAGATACACATTGACGGGAACTGCAGAAACTTGTACCAACAAGTGGCTGTTGCTTCCTTTTGCTATTTTTTATTTTTTAAATATTTTATTTTTAAGACTCGATAATAATTCCCAACAGCATTCTCCTAATATCATAAAATAAATACGAATTTTATTCCGCATTCAGATACATATTGACGGGAACTGCAGAAACTTGTACCAACAAGTGGCTGTTGCTTCCTTTTGCTATTTTTATTTTTTAAATATTTAATTTTTAAGACTCGATAATAATTCCCAACAGCATTATCCGTACATCATAGAATAAATACGAATTTTATTCCGCATTCAGATACACATTGACGGGAACTGCAGAAACTTGTACCAACAAGTGGCTGTTGCTTCCTTTTGCTATTTTTTATTTTTTAAATATTTTACTTTTAAGACTCGATAATAATTCCCAACTCCAAACTCCCCAAATCAGAGAATAAATACGAATTATATTTCTTTCGTAATCAGTAGTAACCATAGGATCTGCAGAAACTTGTACCAACAAGTGGCTGTTGTTTCCTTTTGCTTTTTTTTCATTTATTTGAAATATTTTATTTTTAAGACTTCGATATGGATTTCCTTAATCGATTTGTATATCGATTTGCCACCAATATGCATCAAAACCTGACAACAAACTATTTTTTAAATTTTTTTCCAATTTTTGTGGGGAGACCCCTGCAGAATCCTGGATTTCCATACCCGACCCCTTCCAGTGGCTATATCTTTGGCAATTCTTATCCGATTCTCAAGCGGAGTACCTTAATCGATTTGTATATCGATTTGCCACCAATATGCATCAAAACCTGACAACAAACTATTTTTTAAATTTTTTTCCAATTTTTGTGGGGAGACCCCTGCAGAATCCTGGATTTCCATACCCGACCCCTTCCAGTGGCTATATCTTTGGCAATTCTTATCCGATTCTCAAGCGGAGTACCTTAATCGATTTGTATATCGATTTGCCACCAATATGCATCAAAACCTGACAACAAACTATTTTTTAAATTTTTTTCCAATTTTTGTGGGGAGACCCCTGCAGAATCCTGGATTTCCATACCCGACCCCTTCCGGTCGCTATATCTTTGGCAATTCTTATCCGATTCTCAAGCGGAGTACCTTAATCGATTTGTATATCGATTTGCCACCAATATGCATCAAAACCTGACAACAAACTATTTTTTAAATTTTTTTTCCAATTTTTGTGGGGAGACCCCTGCAGAATCCTGGATTTCCATACCCGACCCCTTCCGATGGCTATATCTTTGGCAATTCTTATCCGATTCTCGAGAAACTTGTACCAACAAGTGGCTGTTGCGTCCCTTTGTTAACCTTTTGTTAAAAAATCTGTAAAATACTTTTATCTTTTTAGTAAAAAAAGTTTTATTTTTGCCATATTGAATAAAACCATTTAGGTGCCATATAGTTCTACGGACATGGGTAGTAGTAAACACATCGGCTCTAGTCCTATTTAGAGAAGGAGATCGTATTCGTTTTTGTTTTGGTTTTTTTTGTTTGGATATTCGACTACACTGGTAAAAACACTTAACTAAATTCAGAGACGAGCAAGGGTACATGGTGTCAAGTATCTGGAATTTAATCCGTATATGTATTGTATGTATAGACGTATATGTATAGGGGTAGATACTTATGGCTAGGAAGCTACTTAATCGCTACGTATTCAACTAAAGTACACACAAAAAAAAAATAGATATATTAGGGCACATACGAATATAGGACTTGCATTGGTACACTCAAGACTAGACTATACATAGAGGGGGGCATTTGGAGTTTCTTTATAATGACGATGAGGGTTAGTGGGATAGTGGATGATGGATGATGGGTAGGTGGTTACTGGTTAGTAAGTGTGACTAGTATTCGTTTAGAGTTGGCTTAGAAGTATCTAAGAATATGGGCTACAGTTACGATTGTTTTCCAATTCAATTGCTTGGCTGGGCGGGAGCTGGTGGAGCTGCCTGCTGTTTTCGCGGTCAAGCGACAATATCACTACCGGGATTATAACCAAAGTAGTTCAGATTGAATTCGTCGCTGAAGAGGACCTCCTCCTCGGACGGTTCCACCTGATGCGACATTTGTATGCCCAGCTCCATGGGATCTATTTCAGTGATGTAGTACTGGGAGTTGCTCATATTGCCACTGCCACCGGCCAGGTTATGGCCATGATGCTGCCTCAGACCGCTCTCCGTGACCACTACATCCTTGTGTATTGGATTCAGATAATCCTCTATAGAATACGAAGAAGATATATGATTATGTGAGATCTGAAAGATCAAAATCAAGACTCACCATTATCTAACAGCACATCGTGGTAAGTACTGATGATGGAGTTAACGGACTGGACCTCCACTTCCCGGTGGATGCCGTTCAAGATCTGGCCGGCCGTCTTCCGGAGTTCATCGTCACTCAGGAGATCGTTGAACGGCAACAGTCTCTGGTGGCTCTGATGATTGTGATGCGAATGTGATTGCGAATGATTGTGGGAATGATTGTGATTGTGATGGACATGGGCGTGCGAATGATTCGGGGGCTGAGACTCGCCGGCTGCGTTATTGGGGGTCTGGTGTTGCAGCATCTCCTGGGTTAGAGTGGCAGCCGCCACAGCCGCTTCATCGTAGAGGCAACTGTTCGATTGTGTTGCATGTTGCTGTTGCGGCGACTGACAATTCTGTTGCTGCTGTTGCTGTTGCTGCTGATGTTGCTGTTGCTGCTGATGTTGTTGCTGCTGTTGCTGGAGCTGTTGCTGATGATGTTGTATACGCTCTCGGTTAATGGATTCCATTTTAAAGAACAAATCCAGACGTTGCTTTTTCTAAAAGGATAAAGTTTAGTAATTATTTTAGTTTATGATATGTTTTAAACACTTACATGCTCCCAGGCTAAAACATTTTCGGCCGAATCCCCGCTAGAAATGGCCCACAGGTGGCCTGCCCCTTGTGGCGCCTTGACTCCTTTACGAAAATGCGGATTTATAGACAAGTTGTGTCGCACGGAATTCTTCCAGCGATCATCATTGGATTTGTAGTAGGGAAAGCGGTCACTGAAATGAAAGATATACAGATTAAAATATTACTAGTAATTAATTTGGAGTTTAAAAATAAATAAAAAAATAAATAAATTTAAAAATAAACTAGTCACAAGTTGCTATTTTTTATTTATTTATTTTTCCAAAGGATATTTCCAGAAGAGTCCTTAAGGCTTAAGGCGACAAACAATTGAAATACCCAACCTATCGGTCGACCTAACCTATAATACCCGTAACTTGTATGATCTATTACTAGTTACTAGTCACTAGTTTATAGTTAAAAGAAAAATCCATACTAGTTCATTAGTTACTAACCATTATTTACTACCTTGACCAATCCCTGCCCTCCGAGTGACCAGTTGGCCCATTTCTACGTTGACCAATAGCCATTGAAGGCTCCAACCCTTCCAAGAGCCAGCCAATCCAAACTCAAAAAGGGGGTAAAAAAACACTGGACGGACACACGGACAGACGGACAACGGACAATAGAACGGAAACGAGGCAATTTCCACGGAACACGTCATCACAGAACAGCACTGCGCCAGAAACTCACACAAATGCACTCGAAATGGAAATGGAAAATGGGGAAAAACTAAGGGAAAATGAATGTGGATGTGGATGTAGAATACGGACATGGACACTGACAGGGACATGGACATGGACAGGGACACGGACAGCGCCACTGGCACAAATTATGCGTCGTTTTCTACTATATATGTACATATATCCACATATATTTTTCTTTTATATTTTGTTCTCTTTCCATATAGACGAGTCACGAACAGGCGATTTTCGGAAGGTAGGTGGTAGGTGGCTGGAAAAATGGGAGTATGCATGGAGTATAGACCCCCTCACCCACCGTCTGGCAGGTCCCCTCTTGCCAGATGTAAAGAGGAAACAGCGAGGACCGGAAAGGACATCGCGTGCCAGGATTTTGGAGAGGTGGTAAGGGATTCCTTTTTTTTTTTGTGGGGTGGTGGACTTGTCGGTCGGACTGACTGGCCCGAATGGGTGGGGTTATTGGGGAGGGACGGGGCAACAAAATGGAAAGTATTTCAAATTACGTTTTGGAGCAGAAATGAAGAAAGGTGGGCGACACGCGCCGCACAAAAGGTGGAAAAAACAACCCCCGGGGTCAGGCTACGGGCTATGTCATTGGTTAACTGCCACTTCCACTACCAAAAAAAAAAAAATATATATATATATATCCCTTACCCTACCTCTGGATTCAATCCACGCCCACGAAGCTCAAAAGCAATCCAAAAAATTTCAGCACGCGAACTAAAATTGGTGGGGAGTCCATCCATTCATTTTATTTTTCTCCATTTTCCTTAGTTTTTCTTTTCGTAGTTTTCTTTTTACTTTTACTGGTTTGGGAACCAGAGAAAAAAAAATGACGACTCATAAATGGAGTGAAATGAAATATGGAAATCCATGGCAGAAGGAAATGGAGTCCTTAATGACCCCTCGGCAATGTCCTGATAACTGCCGGTGACTTCATATGTATGTATCTTACAGATACAAAAATATATATATATTTCAGTATAAATGGATATCTAGGAGGATATAGGGGAATATTCGTGGAATTTGGCACGCAGGCACCACCCGTCATGACGCATCAACCGATGGAGTTGAATGATGTGGCACTTGAAATTGCCTAAAAGGATATTCAGGAGTTGGGGAGCCAGTAGGACTATTACTAGAAATCATATAGATTTTAGAGTTAGGTGGTTCAAAGGAGGTTCTATTGAAATAAATAAATATATATCATTAGATCCATACCATTACTTCTTGCCTTGTAAATTTGAAAATATTAACTCATTCATTGAGAGCTCGCCTGGGATAGTTTATGGTTTGAATGCATGACTGTCTTGACTTAATCATGCACTCAACCAATCGATATAGACCACATATATACACTCTCCACTATTTACTAAGGATATGTATATAAATATATGTCTGTACTGTCGCACTTGTCGAATTGTCAACGTGCCTTCAGGCTTCAAGTAGGCTTCCACTCTCTCCCCCTCGAAGGATATTATTTTTTTTTTTTTTTGATGATGGGGGCTTGTGGGTGGTCTAAGGTCCCAGGGAGGCCTGAGTGGTTTCGTTAAGTTAAAGCAAAAATCAAATACCCACTATCAGCCTCGTCATCGTTGTCAATGAAATTTTAGTTTATTTTTTTAGTTTTTTTCTGATGTCCGTGTCTGGTATATGAAATTGTCGAATTACACGGCATGCCAAGGCATACACCCCCCATTTTATAAAGATATAGATGTATACATATATTAGATTTTTTTTAAATATTAATAAATGGTCATGAAACATGCAATATAGAAATTTTTAATAGGTACTTGCTAGGAAAAACATTTTTGGAAGAAAGCAAAGGTTTTAAGAAAATAAATATTATTAAAATATTCCCTTAAGGTTTCTTGTTATTTTTCATTATTTATATAATTTTCTGAGCCTTAATAAATAACTCAAAATATTAAAAATTTCCCTATCCTCTCCTATCCTAAATCCTATCCTTAGTTTTAAGCCTAAAAGGCTAAAAAATGGCCTATTATTTCATTTCATGGCTTAAAAAAAATACCTAAAAATATTTTAATAAATTCTATAACCTTAATTTAACAGTGTAAACTTTGAATATTATTTGTTTTTGATTTATTTAGTTGCGAAAAACGAGGCTAACACTGAAGGATTGTGGGACCTTCCCGGCTGTCCATCCCCGGAGGTGGAGGTGATATGTAATTGACTATCCAGTTGCTGCCAGAACCCATCTACCGTCTCCCATCCATTAACCCGACCCACCGTTTAGACAGCACTGGTCGCTCGGACTCGGAAAGTGCCGGAGAGCTGGAGAGAACCACCGGAGAAGTGAAGAACCGGAGGCCCAAATGGGCCGAACCGTATCGGGAAGTGCCTGGCACGCAAGCCGCTTCATTTTCATTTTTTTTCCTATTTTTCTTTTTTTTTTTTGACATGGCAGCAAGGACTCCGGACCACCAGACTGGGCAACTACTTCTACGGATCCGACTAGGGATGACTATATATATATATAGATGTACATATAAATTCAAAATCACCGTCATATATACGTATTTATTGCAGTGCGCTAGTCAGTTCATAAATTGTTGCGGCTCGTTGGGTCGTCCACGTAGGACTCCTCCTTCTACTTCTGACCCCCCCTTGGATCTGCCCCTCCATCTAGCCAATAAAAGAAATTGCCTGAATTTATGGCCAGAACCAAAAAAAAAAAAACAGAAAACCAAAAAATAAAAACCCAGAAGTTGCCTCATTTCGGTTGGGAAAAATGAAAAACTTTTTAATGGCAATTGGTTTGTTTTCTTTTTTTTAGGGGGGCGTAACTCCCAACTGGCCACGCCCACTGAAGGCAAAAAAACCAAGTTGCCAAGTTATCCCAAGAACATCGTTTCAGATCTTAGATCAGAGTTAGGACAAGGTTTTTTATATAATTTTCTTACAAAAGAATATATTTCTTAAATATGTCTCAAGGGAGGAAGGATCTATTAAGGACCTTAATATTTTAAATAAATTATTCAAGTATTCTTGAATAATTACTCCTACTATCTCTGTCCAAAATCACCCATAAATGGGTGCTGAAGGAACCCAAATATATAGCCACTGATCCTGCCACATGTCCTGACCGATCAAGCATGATCCGCAACCCATAAACACTCAATATGCCAGCGTGTGGAAATTGACCGGAAGAGGACCCACCCTTTCGATTAACCCACTTAACCCCTTAAAACCTATTCGTATAATTGCTCTTTAGTTTATAAACATTTATTCCATAAATGTCTGTATGTATATCCTTATTTTTTTTTGTGTGGCAGTGGCATGAGCATGTCAAACACCTGATCCCTGGATATGCAATGATGCATGTAAAAGGTGTAGAAAAGCCGGAAGGTATAGGTCCTGACTCCTGTTACCCTCCTATACCTTTCGTATAATTTCTAACCCCTATGTCCTGTTTTCGTATGGCCCGCAATTAATAATTATTGTGAGCCGTGTGGAAATTTCATGGGCAATTGCCAGGACCCCAGAACGAAGGTAAAACGATTAAGGATATCGGGGGATGGGAGTAGGTCCCAGTACCTGTGCCCGCCTGGGAGGGTGCCTGGGCTGGGACCTGGGTCGCGTGGGCGAGGAATGTACCATTGCAGGACATTATTCGGAGGGGAAACTGCGCAGGCGTCAATTTTGCCTTGACTGCACGAGGACACGGCCCTGAAGTAGGTAGGGGGGTAGGGGGGGAAGTGGCTTCCACCTCCCACTTCCAAAATCCTTTGAAAACCTTTCCCCGCAAAGCAAATTTGTGAATGGTTAATGAAAAGTTCCCCCATCCGTGGAGGAAAACTTTCGTCAAGGCTTGAGATATTCGGCTCGGACTGTTGGCTCATTACACGAAATGAAAAGGGGGGGATGTGATGGGCAAATGTCATAAATTATTTACCGTTACTTTGCCAAAAAAAAAAGAAATAATGGGGAGTTGGGTGGAAAGGTTGGTGGTGGTTTTATATGTAAATTTATATAGGATATTTACACGCAACATTTTGGGTTGCGGCTTCAAATATTTACACTGATTCCGAAAGGGGAGGTACACAAAAAAACAGGTGCTCCGAAGGGGGGTATAAGTTTACGGACTAGGGGGGGACACGGATCCAAAGAAATGTCAAATTAATGAACCTTGAAAAATGTGTTAAAAGTTTTCCGTTTATGCTTCTTTACGAATTGACATTTTCCAACTATACCTATTTGGAAAAGCCCCAAAAATCGAGGTGGAAAACCCAGGGGGTGGTTTTGTCTATAAGAAGGTATAAAAGTAGTTAATTATCATAAACTATATAAACTATATAACTATAAACAACAACAAAAATATGACTAGACCTGATAAAAGGCTATTTGGGATGTTATTATATATAAAGAAAGATATATAAAGTGAATCATAGGAACTATTCTATGTATTATAAACCAACTAGTTTTGGAATTCGGATATCTAATTTAAAGATATAATTTTTTGAGGTTTTGTTTTATAAATCTCAGTAAGTATTTTTTATCTAGAATATTTTTAGCCTTTTCAAAGCCCATTTTAAGATATCCAAGATACAGATTATAGATTTTGGAAATACATATAATAAATAAATGCAGACACTACATATATTAATGTCTATTCAAAAATGTTGTAAGTCGTTAAATGAACTTAAACAACATAAAATATTAAAATCAAAATTTTAAAAAAATTGTTCTAACCAAAGCTAGTTTATAAAAACACTTTAGTTACTAGACATCTACAAGTATAAGGATCTATTTGTAACTATTTCCCAATGAAACCAAATGAACAATTTTCTAAAAACCCTCCCAAAATACCCAAAATACCTTACTGATGGCCCCCATTATTCGAAATATTTTTCAAACACCATCTATAGCCCCGATAACGAAAATATTGTCAACAACTTGTTGACGCAAAAACGCAAATAGTTTGTAACGTAAATAGTTTGGAAAACACACACAAAAAAAAAAAACAGAAGGGGGAAAAAATGGCCAAGAAAATGCAATTTTCCAAGCCATAAATCCTACGAGCTGCAAACTTTTGGCACTTTCGTTGATTTTGTTGTTCGGTTGTTGCACTTGTTTGGTTAACAACGAACAGTAACAACACAACGACCAACACCTCGAGTTGCAAATTCAAATGGCCAATCCGGGAAATGCTTGAGATTTGTTTAATTACATCCGGTTGGGAAAGAAACTCTTTGGAAGAAAAGCCTAAAAAAAGAAAATCCCCTTTCCTCCAAATACAAAATGGCGTCCATCAAAAAGAGAATGGGTGGGTGGTTGGAAGTGGGAGGTGGGATTTGGGCTGGGGTGGGGTGGTTGCTTACGAGCAAGTACTTACGATATCCACTGGTATATACCCGACACAGTCAGCTCACCCTTGTCCTCGAGGGCGTATTCTATGAGCTCCGTGTAGGTGAACGGTGGTTTCTTTGGCCTGCTTGTTTTGCGGTGGTTGTTTCCCAGTCGCAGGTGGGTGGGCAAATGGGTGGATTTTCAGGTGGAATTTTGTCAGGTGGTTGGGTGGCCGGGGTGTCCGGGTGGTTGTTTCATTCGGTTTATTTCAGTTGGGTTCGTAAAACGGCATCGATTGGTGGAACGGCGAAGCCAAATGGAAAATGCAAATGGAGAAACGCACAAATCAGAAATATTAGTTAGGAAAATATTAAAAAAAATAAATATTATACAAAATATAGAATTTTTAATTATTAAAATGGGTGGTATAACTAATAAGAAACAAATAATTTTTGAGGTTTAAAGTTTAAATAAATAGTTTCCTGTTTGAAATAGGTTTTTAAAAGTTATATGTTTCAGGATTTAAGAAATAAGAAGAATTATAAACATTCAGATTTTTAATTTCTAATATATAATCATATTGTTTCTAATAATTTGTGATATATGTATACTATCTATGGTAACATACACGTATTTTCAGAAATAATTGATTTCCTTTCGTTTTTTTTTAACTAAACAAACTTTTATAGAACTTTAATATTAAAGAATCTTTTTAAAAACCTTAAAAAGTATCATATTTTTATCTCAAAAAGTTTTGAAAACTTTCAAAGTTTAAAACTAACATAAAAACGTTTTTGAAAACTAAGATAATCTCAAAACACAGTATCCAAAATTTTCCACAAAACAATCTTCCATAAGAAAAGCTACAAAATCAAAATTAAAATTAAAAAAAAATATATTAAAATTGGTTTTAAAATAAAGATAATTTTAAGAACTTATACTTACGCCTTGGAGGTGGTATCCTCGACCACAACATGCTCGGCGACGATCATGTCATTGCCGTCCAGTTCGGAGGTGACCTCCATAACGAGCTCCTCGAACTTGCGTCCGGTTTTGTTCGAACCAGATCCTCCGGCCGGACCTCCAGCCGCCACGCCTCCTCCTCCACCGCCACTACTGACACCACCTGCTCCCACCGGCATTCCTGTACTGGCACAATTCTTTGGAGATCTGGCTCTCTGATCAGAAATCAGAGAATGATTCGAGTTTGTGGCGGAGGCGGAAATGGCAGATGCGGATGTGGATCCTGCTAGGGAGCCGGCTGCAGATGCGGGTGTGGGCGAGGTGGACTGGCAGGGTGAGTGGCCTAAGGCCGATGATGATCCTGGAAGCGGGGCACTGCCCTCGGGCAGAACCACGGGCTGGCCATTTCCGTTTCCGGCCTGATTGTGCGGCGAGAGATGGGGAAACTCGTCGAATTTGAAGTTGAGCAGCCAGGAGAGATTCTTGTCCTCGAAATCGGTTTCTGTGGCCTCCTGGACGCCGTTCGATCCTGACCCAGAGCCCGAGGAAGTGCGTCTTCCAGTGGTTACTATCCGTTGCTTTTGTGGGAAGAGAAAACTAGGACTTCCGGTCGGGACAGGATTCTGTTGTTGTTGCTGCTGCTGTTGATGTGGAGGAGGAGGTGGTAATGTGGCATTCAATTGGCCCAACTCGGCCTGCAGCCCAGAGTTGTAGCGATGATCCAGCTCCAGCAACTCCCCAGCCTGCCAGCCGCCATTGTCCTCCAAAGGACCTCCTCCTCCGCCGCCACCTGCAGCGCCACTGCCCCCAGCCGACGGCGGGCAGTGCGTGGAGTAGTGGGCCGTGGGAGTCGGAGTGGGCACCAGAAGTGTGGTATCATAGGCGAACAGATCGTTGATGAAACTCGATCCTGTGGCAGGAGTAGCAGGATCGGCACTAACCGAATCTTTGACAGCCGCCGGCTGATCCATTTGCAGGTGGAATTGCAAGTCCCCCGCATCGTAGGCATCCAAATGGCGTTTCTTCCAGGGATTCGATGACTCCAGCGACTCGAAATCCTGGCCCAGGCTCAGCTCCTGTTCCACATACTTCCGCTTCAAAAAGTTATAGCCATTGGTAGTGTTATTATTAGTGGTATTATTGTTATTATTATTATTATTGGGGGGACTTCCCGCCGCCGATCCACCAACGGGTGGCATATTAACAATCATGGTTCGATCTGTATCTCTCTAAACCTCTCTCACTTTCACACAAAATATTTGTTATATTTTTAAAATTTTAAGAAATATATATATCTATTTTTTAAGGCACTTCACGGAAAAAAAAATAGTTTGAAAATAGATATAGTTGTAGATGTAGTTTTTAATCGAAAACTCAACCTTCTCGCGAGGCAACTGGACACGGAATGCCAATATGTTTTTGGTAAGGAACTCAATTGGAAGTTTCGACAAATAAAATGGTAAGTACTTCGTTAACATCGGGGTACTTCGGGCCTCGGGTCTGCCAGGTTTGGATGGTCTGTCCGCCCTCCCCTCGGGAGAACCAGCTGAGCAGTTTCAGGTGGCCTGCGCCTGCGCCTCGTCCATCCCTCTATGCCCCTTCTCGATTCCTTCCATTTTCATTTCCATTCTATATTCTATATTCTTTTCGATTCGATTCGATTCCATTTCCATGTGCATTCAAGCACATAGAGCCGCGGAATCGGCGGAGAGAATATATCCGCCGAAAGCCTCCCCCACCTACCAGGTTTTAGCCCACTTTATTAGCAAGAGTGATGACGACTATAAGGGTTTTAAATTAATTTAAAAAAAATATATCTATGGGTTTTAATAAAATATTATAATTATGAGAAAAACTTCTTTGAAAAATTAGGTAGACAAAAATATTTGATTGTTTATTTTTGTATATTTAAAAAAATATTAGAGAGTTCTTTGATTTAAAAATAAGTTTCTAGAAATAGCTTCAAATACTTACTATGAAGTTTTTTGAGTTTTCTTAAAAGAAAAAATATATAATATCTCAAGAAAATAATTATCTACTATCATTTAAGGAAAAAATAGTATAGTATCTTCTTCAAAACTGTATAGTGCATTTCAAACAAAGGTCTATAAGGTATTTCTAAATAAAAGTTATAATACTTCACAAATAATAATTATGATATGATTATTATGAAAAAGAATAAAGAATGATAAGAAAAATATACAATTTTTAAGAACATAAGTCAATAAACTCCTAAAAACTTAACATTACTTGAACAATTACTAACAAAAAACTAAAGAGAAAGAATTAATTCTTCAAAATACATTTATTTCATCTTTATCTTTAAATTATCTTTAAATATTCTTCAAATTTGAAATATTTCTCTTAAAAAAGGTACAAAAAAAATCCTTTATATACAGTACCCAAAAAGTAAGCCCCCATCACTGTTTATGGTACAAAGGTACTAGGTACCACCAGGTCATGTGCTGCTGGTGGTTCCACTTGGTCGCTCCTTTTGGCCATATAATCGAACATGTGCGCCGCCGCCGGTCGGCCTGTCCGTTAGCCAATTTTGCGCTGACAGGGTTCAGGGGTTGACGGGGGCTCGGGCCGGTGCCGGTGGCGGTGGCGGTGCCGGGGGTTCAGGGTTCATGTAATTTGTATGCTAGGCTATCCAGTACTTTAGGGCAATCATTCAAGCGTCTAATCGACAATGCTTTTTGGGCACCCTTCGGGCACCCATCCACCTATTACTCCTCCATCCATCTCTTTGGGATTCCACCTCACCATTCCACCTCGGCACAGGTGTTATTACCTGGAGGACATCTGTATTCTCTACTGACAAATATTAATTGTATATAATAATAAAGATTTAATTAGTTAGAAGAGCTACTTGCGTTTGATAGTTCTAATACCTAAGAACTATGACTAATCCTATTGATAATCTCGGTTCTCTTGAAACTAATACTGTTTTATATATACTGTTTACTGTTTATTATTTTATATACATATATTAACAAATTCAAGTATGTACTCCCCATCGAGATGTTTAACAAAATCGGAAATGCCAGTCCAGAACGAAGCTCAACCTGTTTTTATAGCTTTTGTTTGCTTGAGATTGTAAATAAAATGAATCGAATGATGTGCCGAGGGAGTTCCCCCCCATCCCATTGAAGCGGATCGTAAGCTCGGCCCGGAACTTTTGCTGATAAATCCGAGTGATAAGCCACAGGGGCGTTCAGTAGATCCCAGAACATCATGTTTGTCAGACACTTGAGTTCCATTCTCGTCTTAATTCTGGCGGTTAGTGCTGCGAAGCCCCGACGTCGTCCGGTGGATGAGTGTCCCACCATTAAGTTGAAGCGTCAGTGGGGCGGCAAGCCCTCTCTGGGTCTCCACTACCAGGTGAGACCCATCCGGTATGTGGTTATCCATCATACAGTCACGGCAGAGTGCAGTGGACTCCTCCAGTGCGCCGAAATACTTCAGAATATGCAGAGCTATCATCAAAATGAGCTGAACTACAATGATATTAGTTACAAGTAAGTATTAAAAAATGGGAATAAAATTCTTAAAAACTTACCAATACATAATTTTTTAGCTTTTTAATCGGAAGCGATGGCGTTGTCTATGAGGGAACTGGTTGGGGTCTCAGAGGAGCCCATACTTATGGCTATAATGCCAATGGCACTGGAATAGCTTTCATTGGCAACTTTGTGGGTGAGTTATAGTTCAAAATAGCGTTAAAATAAATAGTTATATCCAAGTAATCCCTTCCAGATAAGCTTCCCACACCAGCGGCTCTACAAGCTGGTAAGAGCCTTCTAAGCTGTGGCGTTAAACAGGGAGAACTAGCCGAGGATTATGCACTCTTGGCTGGCTCCCAAGTGATCAGCACTCAGAGTCCTGGACTAACGCTCTACAATGAGATCCAAGAATGGCCACACTGGTTATCCAATCCATAAAATAAAACTAAAAAATTAAAATAAATTAAAATTAAAACAATAAATAAAAGAAAACGAAAGCTAGAAGATACTTCCTCATAAATTTCATACTTTTTTGTGGCTTTGGTCACACTTTCTAGGTTTTGGTTGATCTGGCAGCACCACGTGGCAGCAACCGGAAGTGTGGCCACCTGACTGAGTCCCCCCTTGAATTGAATTCATTTGTTTGTTGTTTTAGTAAAGTTGCGAAAGCGTTGTGGAATCGTTTATTCTCATTCATGTTACAAATGCACTCTTGGAGAGTATTAGTACTATATAGTAGTCTATAGCCTGCCTGATCCTTTACATACTTGCGGCTCTTCGCATTTACACTTACAAGTCATTGTTAGAGAAAGTTTTAGAGATTTTAGATGGGCAAGTATATATATATATATATATGTATGTATATATTGTGGTTTTTAGTATATATATATATATATAGATTTGTAGCGCTGTTGCTAATAGTTTCACATATAAAAATGTTCCTTTTGTTAGACATTTACAACATCGAGTCCATATTTATACCCAAATGGCAACTATAATACATATAAGTACATTTATGTATATATATATATATAACTCTTTAGATCTTTTTAAATATATGTATGTATATAGAGGCGTTATAATATATATATATAGCTGTCTGAAATTTTATTTTGTTTAGGTATCGGTATCGCTATTAGCAGAGCGCGGGAGAAAATCGATTGTTGGTGTTACTTTTGGGATCGGAAATCGGAAATAAGGATCCTAATCCCGATCCCTATGTGTGTCTTGGGAAATAATACGGTCTAATAAGCTTCTTTGGAGGTGCAGCAAGGTGGCTAGAAGTAGTTTATAGTTTTTAAATGTGGCTTTCACTATTTTTAAGATTTAGTTTTTATATTTTTTTTTTTAGGTACGCACACTGGTACAAAAGTATGCAAGTATTTTTCTTTTTTTGTTTTTTTTTTTTTGTTAAAGGCAGCGTGGGACTACTTTGGACACACATATCTTTAGTACAGGCTTTATGTGTATGTATTTGTGTCGGTGTGTGTGTGTGTGTGGTGTGTAAATGTGTGTGTGACTAATCTTTAATGGTGGTAATCGTGGATTAATGGGCGGCACTGATTTTGTGTTAGTTAACATTCGCTATAAGTTTACATAGGTTTACATTCTTAATATTTATATATATATATATATTTTTTATTTATATATAATTTTAATGGAATTTTTTTCTTTTTTTAGGGAGGAAGGGAAAGGTCTGGTGCTTGCTTGTTAAACATCTTTACAATATTCGAAATCGAAAAAGTGCTCTAAAGGAAGTGGGGGGGCGGGAACTGGGATCAGAAGGCGGTGCTGGATCGAGGAGCGGGCTAAGAGTGTTTGTGAGAAAGTCTTGACTAAATTTAATGTACAGGACTACGTTGTCTACGCTGCTGATGCAACTGCTTCGTCATCGTCTTCTACATCAATTTCTTCTCCTTTCAACGGCAAAGGATTTTTACTTTGAAAAAAAAAAAACACATATCCTTTGCCTTGTGACTTTGTTGTACTTTCGATAGTTTTGCTTTTTTTTTGTGCTGGCATGTTGAGCTTTTACTTTGAAATGGTTGCCTGCTGTGCTGGGGACTGCGGGCTAAAGACAGACAGAGAGAGAGAGAGATAATGGGACGCCATGACAGGTATCAGTGTGGCCAACGTCGCTAACGAGTTTCTTATAAAATATTTGTATTTCAACGAACATTTATAACACACATATTACTAATTGAATTTTCTTTAAAATTTAACATCTACGCTTCTCAAAAGTTTTAAGATAATTGGAATATGTTTTTAAGCAACAATTATGTACAATTATTGGAAGAAGATCTTTAAGTTATTATGTTTTAAAATTTAAATACGAAATAGTTGTCTTTATAAATACGAGATCTCTGGATATGTTGTATATTGCAAGAAAAAGAGTTATAGTTATTTTTTTATAGAAACCTTTTAAGTATTAAAATGAAAGATTTAATGAAAAATCGAAATCTAAAGTTTTGAAAGATTATAGATTACGAAAATAATTCCTATGAAGCAATGAAGGTTATATTCTAGCCACACTGACTTGCCGGATGTGGACTCCCAACTGACTGTGAGAGAGACGGATAGAGTTTTGTGAGACAGAGAGAGCATGATATGCAGACGTAGCTTTAAATTAGCCATGGGATCCGGGAGAACTAGGAATTAGGTATCAGGAATCAAGGACCAGGACCAGGAGTGGGATATGGAATCCTTGGTAGGGGCAGGGGCTGCGCCTACAGATCAAAATAAAACTCAACAAGCATGGCCTAAAACTGGTTGACCTTCAACTCATTTCCCTGCAGCTGGACGAGTCGGAACGCCTCTCTTATGGTCGGCGTCATCAGCAGCTTGAGGTTCTCCTCGGCCTCGGCCGGCAGGGAGCGCAACAGCTCCATGGACGCCACCACCAGCTGGGCCAGGGCGGCCCTCTTGTAATTGGAATCCTTGAGGATACTGCTCGCTCGTTGCTGTTCGATTTCCGGTGATATGGACTCGGCCTCCGAGGACTTGGCCTGGCGGTTGGTGTCAAACGGATTGTTCCGGCACTTGGGCTGGAACTCACTGATCAGCGTGGTCATCGTTATGTTCTCCTCCTCCTGCAGCTGGACGCACTTGGTCGGCGATGGATTGCTGCCCGATCCCGAGCCGGAATCAGTCATCTCGGCATCTCCGTTACCATTCAGGGAGATGCACATGGGCTTGTGCGCCAAATGGGGCTGCAGTGGCGGCGGCTTCTGGCGCAGTTTGCCGGAGGATCCCGTCTCGATGTCGTGCAGAGCCGAATTGCTCAGGTAGAGTTCGCAGACCAGGTTCCAGGCATCCTGCAGGCAGAACAGATACCTCACAAAGTTCTCCTTCTTCTTCACGGTGGTGGTGTTGAGGCGCGAGCACGACTCCAGGATAAAGTTGAGGTCCTCGGGGCCCAGATTGTAGACCACAATGTCGTTCAGGTGGGAGTCCACCAGGGCAATGTAGTAGATCATCCAGGAGGAGGTCATTTGCTTGTACAGATTGGCGGCATACTCGATGTTGGAGACCTTTTGCATGAGGAACTTTAGACCGGGTCGCGAGTCGAACTCCAGGGCGGACATCAAGTACTGTTTGACGCAGCGCAGCAGGATCTCCTTGGAGCGGAAGTCCAGGTCGTAGTCGTGACTGGGCGCCGATGCCGAGGCGGCGTAGTTATCGAAGATGCAGGTGGACACCGCCTGGGGCACGCACTTCAGTCGCGACAGCAACAGCTTGGCCACAAGCTGGAGCAGCATCTGGTTGGCGAGGAGGCCCACCACCAGGTTCTTGAACGGTATCCGTATCACGAAGTTGTCCAGGTTCGAGTTAAAGCCATTGTTGAGGGGATAGAGCAGGAAGGAGTAGCTCCTGTCGTCCGACAGCTTGCACGATCCACTCGGCGTGGAGCCGGTCTGACCCTGGCCCTGGCCCTGACCCGGCTCCCTCTGATTGTCCGACAGGAAGACCTGCTGGGCCAGTGCGTAGATCCTGGACAGCTCCTCCAGGGTGCTGTCCCTGCGGGCTGCCACCTTGACGTTGGCACAGTCACCGTAGAAGCTGTTGGACTTCTCATGGAAGGCGAAGGAGAGCTGACGCAGCGGAGCAATCGTCACGGTGCAGGCTCTGTGGATGGCCGAGCAGGCTATCATCCACTGGGACTCGTTGAAGAGCATGCCCGTGGAGAGGATGACGTGCTTGAGGCAGGACACCGATATCCTGGCAATCGCCTCCTGCGACTGGGCGGCACACTCGATCAGTACGAGGAGCAGTTGCTTGAGTGCCAGCGTGGCCGAGCCGGAGATCTTGGTGGGTGACTCCATTAGGTTGCCAGCTCCTCCTGCCCCGGCCTTCTGCTGCTCCTCGGAACTGGCGGAACTGGAACTGCTATCGTACTGCTGCCCGTAGGCCGGATCCTGGCCATTCTGCAGATGATGCTGCTCCCGCTCTATCCTCTCCGTGACAAACTTCAGCTTGGAGTACAGCAAGTTATCCGCCGGATGAACGATCTGGGCCAGACGCGTCTTAGTTCCCGCCCCCAAGCGACGCTGCTCCGGCACTGATTTCTCGATGAACTCCACCACCAGATCCGTGGTCATGCAGCAGCAGTGCTTGAAGTTCTTCTCCACCAGCTGCCAGGAGGCGCCTGTCTTGTTGATGTACCTCAGCCAGTCCTGGATCATCGGAACCAGCAGGTGGTTGATGCAGTAGAACCCAAAATCAATGCCCGGACTGGCGAGGAGGTTCTTGAAGAGCTTGAAGATCGTCTGCAGGATGGGCGCCTGGTGGGAGTAGGGGCAGACAATCAGCGAGTTGGTGAGTCCGTCCAGGAGCAGGAACCACACCTTCAGCACACCCGACGGCTTGTCCATCTCGTCGATCTTCACAATGGTGTCCTTGTCGATATGTAGCGACCGATAGGAGATCATATACTGCTCATTCCGCGTCTGGAGATAGTCGTTTCCGAAGTACGTAAAGTTCTCCATGGAACTGGGGATGTTGGCATCGATTATGTGGGTATAGGATATGCCCTTGATCTTGTACGTCGAATGGAAGTTGGGGCACTTGGGCATGCTGTGCATGAATCCCAAAATACTGGAGCATCGCTCCAAAAATCGCAGCGTCTCGTGCAGGAAGTCCGTTGGCCGGAACGTGTTGTCCTCCTCTTGCTGATTGGATCCAGATCCGGCACTTCCACCTGGACAGGAGTTGTTATTGTTGTTGTTATTACCTCCGCCAGAGATCTCCAAGTAGGATAGCAAGCAGAGGATACAATCCAGCCCAGCATTGGCGAATACCAAAGTGTTATCCGAGTCCAGGAATACCCGGAAAATGTCGATGATGTTGCTCATGTTTAGCATCCGACTGCGGGCGTTCCTCAGGGTTCCAAACAGCGGCCTCCACCCGGAGCGGATTTCGGTGCGATGAGCCTCCACCACCTCGTACAGGCAGGCCACGATCTGGTCCTGCACATCCACGTCCGTGTCCATGCTGAGGAGGTTCTCGAATGGCTTCAGGAGGGCCTCGTTGAAGTGGAAATACGGCAGCTCCGATTGCTCCACTAGGAGAGCCGTGATGATGTCGTGGATATATTCAATGGCGCGCTTCGAGATCATCCTATCCCGATGACAGGCAGCCTGGAAAGTAGGATACACCATATGAGAAAATGGAACTCCCACAAACCCAAGCTTGTACTCACATCCATCAGATGCGGTCCAGTGATGGCCCAGACCTTGAGCACATGGAGCAGCGGTCGAGAGCTGCGGAAAACCTTGAGAGTCACATCGCCAATCCTGTGCAGGAGCAGGGACATGGGCAGCGAGTCCAGCTTCTTCCAGCCCTTGCTGGGCCACCAGATGCGGCTGCCTTTGCGCGCCACCTGGCTTTTGTAGAGTTGCTCCCGCGAGGCGCGGCACAGATGCTTCAGGAACTGGCACAACGACGGCAGACTGAGACGTTCGGCGGCGTCGCCAAAGAGGTTCTCCGCCTGGTGTGACAAGGCACAGAGCACCTTGGAGGTGTCGCTCTGGCTGAGTAGGACCGTCTCGTTGGTGCCGGAGTAGACCTTCAGGATGGAGGTGATGTTCGTGTTGGGACTCTGCATAGGTGCCTGCAGGAAGCTGTACACATCCACACTGGGTTTGGGAAACAGAGAATTAGAAACTATTCCAGAAAGTCAAAGCAGTCTGTGAGTCAAACCAGGTCTCATCATCATCGATGGGTATGGAGGAGAGATTGAGCTTGTCCTGGGCATTGCCGTTGCTCAGCTTCTCGCCAGTCTCCAGGTCGCGGCGGCTGCTTCCCGGCGAGGATCCCGATATGGATGGATTCTGCATGCTGAAGATTTCGTGCTCCAGTTGGCTGACATGACGGCACACGGCGAAGATGCTCGGCCAGCAGTCGGCGCTGTAGCTGCCCAGATTGAGGCCACCAGTGAGCACCACGTCCATGGACATGGCCTGGCTGGCGGAGATGCGGGGCCCGGTGGTCTGGCAGACATTGGAGGCCAGTAGATTCAGGATCTTACCGGCCAGGTGTTGGAGGTTGAGGTTGTTGCTCAAAGTGGCCGCCTAAAAAGAAGATAATCTCAATTAGTGAAATATTCCAGAACTGAAATCAAGGTTCTATCCACCGAATGGAGTCCATCCAGACACATGGCGTACAGCGCCTCGCCGTTGGACTTGTTCGCCTTGGCCTTCACCCGGAGTGTGCGTTTGGAGAGCGCCACCAGCTTGTTGGAAGCGGAGCTGGTCTGGAGATCACCCAAGCCGGAGCTCAGCACAATCACCATCGAGTCCCAGCAACAGGTGAGCAGCCGGCGGCACAGCTTCTTGGCAGCCTCCCGGCGTTTGTCGTGCTGCTGCTCCTCCTCCTTGTGCTTCACGGTGGCTGTCTGCAGGCGCTGCCACTCGGAGAGCATTTGGGTGGCACCCAATCCTCCAGCATCGCACAGCATATCGACCAGGGCGCACCGTGGCCCGATTCCGTCCAACTGCTGGCGCGACATGGCCTCCAGGACGTTGCACACGGTCACCGACTGGTAGAGTTCGCATAGCCATGGCGAGGAGAGGTAGACCAGCACTCCTGTGTTCTGCACCGAGGTCACGAACTGCTGCTCCGACATCGGCACCAGGATGTCCTTGTGGGCCATGCCCGAGGCCACCTGCTCGTAGTAGCCGGCCCGCATCAGCTGCAGGCTGAGCAGGAGCGAGGAATAAATGGCCAGGTAGATGCCATCGGCATTTATGGCCGTCAGGTTGTAATCGAAGTCCGAGAAGTTCATGCTGTTCTCCTGGCACACCGCCGATGCGAACTCTTGCATGGCCTCGTCGATCTCCACGCAGCTCCGAAGACGGAGCAGCTTTGGGACCAGGTCCTGTCGCAGGGCACGAGCGAAGTCCCTGGCATGCTGCCTATCATTGTCGCTGTCCGTCCGGATGGGCATCACCGGCGCCTCCAGGTGCGAGTACGGCCAGCGGTTCTCCACGCGCGAGGTCTCGTCACTGGAGCTGCTAGGATCATCGTCCTCGGGTCCTTCGGTGTCTCCCGAGCCGATGGAGGCCGCATCCTGCTCATGTGGTGGTTCACCTTCGCTCTCGGATCCCGACGAAGTCTCGAACACGTTCTGTCGGAACTCTACGATCGCATCTCGGTAGGGAGCCGGCAGCCGGGCCATGCTCTGGTAGGTCAGTGGCCCAGAGTAGTCCGCATCCTTGAGGAGCTCATGCCGTCCGTTCACCACCTGGACGATCTGGTCGCTGATCATCGACTCGGTCAGCTCTCCAGTGCAGAGCACCTGCAAGCTGTCCAGCAGAGCCACCATACACTCCACACTGGCCTGCAGGCTGGCCTCCGTGGCGCCACCTACTCCGCCGGTTCCGTAGGCGCACTCCTCCATGGCGTCCACCAAGCTATTATAGAAAAAGTTAATTTTTTTTTTTAATTTTAAAAATTCTTTAAAAAATCACTCACAGCCGGAAAAGGGCCATTTCATCGCTGCATCCTTGGGCTGTGTTCTTGTCCACATAGAGTATAACCGCCAGATCGATGAGGCGCTCCGGACTCTTGAAGATCTCGCGCACGCAGCGGAGGGGTTCTGTGCGGTTCTGTGGCGCCGGCAGAAGCAGCATCCGGTGGAAGAGGGCCTCCAGCATGGGACGCAGGGAGCCATGGGCACCAGCGATGCGCAGCAACTGGATGGCCGTGAGATAAACACAACGAGCCTGGGGACCGTCCAAGCCAGGACCCGTGAAGAAGCCGCGGGCTTCGTTCTCGATCATGTGGAGGGCGTCCCTGAAAGGATGGGGTTTGTAGACATCGTAGTTGGAATGTGGTTTAATGTGACTCACTTATAGGTAAACTTCTTGTCGAGATTGATCCTTCCGGGTGATCCCAGTGCCGCCGCCAGTGTGGGACAGAACTTCTGCCAGAGGAAGGAGGTAAAGTGCGGATTGGCATGGACGTTGCGGGGCAAGGCTGAGCTCAGGGTGAGGATGCACTCGGTTAGGTACAGGGAGCTGGGATTCTCGCTCTTCTTGTTCGGTGATGTGTTCACATTTGGCTCCACCAGGCGACTGCAGAGCCACTGCATCACCGGTATCACCTCGTTGTAGACGGCGGAGGCCTGGGTCTGGGTCATCAGGCCGGCGGGAGCTGTCTTCTTCACCTCCTCGGCCTCCTCGATGAGGAAGGCGCAGAAGGTGCGCAGGCACTGGGAGGCGGCAGCCAGTGAGGCAGCCTTAGTGGCCCTCGAGCCCATCTCCCAGCACTCGCCGCACCTGGAGAGGATTTCGATGAGCAGGCGTCCGTTGAGGGTGCAGGCCGGGGAACAGGCCATGGCCAGGAAGAGCCGTAGGACATTCACCACCGTGTCCTCGCTGCTAGTCGACGGGAGGATGCCGTTGGTGGCGCGGAGCAGCTGGGAGGGCAGCCATACGGAGTCATCCTCTGGCTCCAAGCCAATGTAGAAGCGCTCGTCCTTGATTACGCGCTATTCGGATGGAAAGAAAGGATACACATACATACATATCAAGAGGAAAACTTTACCGTTAGAAACTGGAAAGTAATTAAACATAAAAGTTTCATGTTTAATCATGTTTGGAATCAATAAAAAGGACTCAAAGGACTCTGGGGGAAATGCCAATAAAGGAAAGAGGAGAAAAAGAGGAAAAAAGAAATCAAAGCAACAATCACAGGATGTATCTCCCGTTTTTTTTTAGGAGCATTGGGACGTGTCCTGAGTGTGTCCTGAATACCGGATGGAATAAGGAACGAATTATTGATTACCATATTGTTAACCACTCATAAACAAAAGTCACTTCCGTCTCAGGGGATTCCCGTCAATTAGCCGACTCCCCCAATGGCCCATATAGCCATATGCCACATGCCACACGTTCCACATCGTAAATTCTATATGACTCTATTAGGGTGGTACTTAACAAAAATTATAAAATTATTTTTAAAATAAATAAAAATTATACATAAACTTAAAAATTATAAAAAAATATCCTTTAGAGTCTATAAAATTAAACCTTTAAATAAAAGTATCAACTAAGGTCCACCCTAATGTCCATATCCTTTGTCCACTGTATGCACATGGAATGATAAATCCGCTTTGTGCGCCGGAAGTTCCGGCCGGAAAATGTGTGCCCGTGGTTGTCGTCAAGCCATTGTTATGGCTCCACTACTCCCCCTCCAGCCCCCTCGTTCAGGACACTGCTGCTCCACCTCGATAATCGCCGTATCCGGAATGTGGGGGGCAACTTACATGGAGGCCATTCAGACCCATAGTGATGAACTTGGGTCGCTTGGTGTCCAGCGCCATCTGCAGGGCAGTGAAGCAAACGGAGCGCAGCTCATGGGACGGATCCCGATGGATGCCATGCTGGCGGTACAGTTTATCTGAAAGAGAGAGACACAACGGCCGGAATTAGGAACGATTAACGGTTATCGCATGGGAAAACAATTAACCCGCACCGGGCAATAGTCATAAAATCTGCCCAGATAAGAGGAATGAAAAAAAAATAAAAAAAAATGCGTATAACCAGTATTCTTTGTGCTTGAGGTCAAGGATACTTGGGGAAAAAGTTTCATAAATATTTTTCAGTGCAGGATGGCTGGCCATCCAAATGCCACAAATCGTTGCCTACATTTCTGCAGCGAAAATCAAAGAAAACAAAGAGAAGCTTAAGTTGTGTGGGAGTTGGCATGCCCTGCATTGAATGGAAGGATTATGGCCATTTGCATAATCCATATTAAGTCTGAAAAATGAAGATAAAGCGTAGAATAAATTAAACAAAAGAATAGTAGGAAGTAAAAAAGATTAACAGATATGTACTCTTTAGATTATTTTATATATCTTTATTGAAACAATGAAAATATTAATAAGAATTGAAAATATTAAATATTATTTTAATACTTGTTATAAAAATTGTCTCAATGGATGTACTCTATTCAAGAATGTGTAGGGTATCCTCACAAAGGAAATAGCAACTAACGGTAAACAACAAACATGGGCGAAAGCAACGGCAACAACAACAGAGCAATGAGAAAAGGAAGGAAGGAAGGAAATTGCGTTCTTGCATGCTCTCAATGTGCGTTGTTCTCATACTTTCTCTGACTTTCTGCCTCTTTTTTTCATGAGCACCGCAAAAATTCCTTTAAAGGGGGTTATCCTTTATAAAGAAAAAGTCTATAAATCAACATAAACTAAAGAACTCTTTATTTTTAAAGTTAATGAACATCATGAACCCCTTTTCGGCGTCCATGTCACGCCACTTTGACGCCTTCTCTCGCTCTCTCTCTTTCTTGCTCACCTGCACTTCCATATGTGGAGTGCTACTTACCGTAAGCTATTTGCGCCGTTTGCCGCAACGCATTGTGTTTGGTGCCCGTTGATTCTTTGATAATTAGCAGGAATAGGTCTTCCATATTGCAGGCTCCTACTTTCTACCGCTTTCTCTCTCTCTCTCTCTCCTGCAAGAGAGCGTGGTGTGTGCGTGCGTATGGGTGTCTGTTGCTCGCCAAAAAAAATTCCGCGCTTGTGGTTGTGGTAGAGCACCGTTACTTTTCTAGCTTCCCGTTGCCGCCTCAAACGGTTGTTGTAGGATTTGTTGTTGCGCCTTTGCACGCCATCGGTAACAACAACAACTCAATTAGCGCCAAAGTTGCTGCCGCCTGAAAAAAGGGAGTAAAATCAATAAAACCAAAAAACAAAAGCAACAAAACCAGTAACAGATGCGTTTTGGCAACGATGTTTACAGTTACCGCCATATGTAATCTCACTCACACACACCCATGCACATGTAAACGCACGCATATCAAACCCACGCCAGGAAGTTTCTATACATATACATGCATATGTATGGATGTACGTATGTATGTATTGGCGTCACGTCACTTCTTGCACTTTTGAAACTTTTTGCCATTGCAATTGTGCACCTTCGAAAAGTTCAAACAGTGTGTATCCGTTTTCCTTGAAAACTTTTCGCACATTAACAGGCGCACACTCACACAACCATACAACTCACACACAGTGCAGTGCAGGCGCTGCTGCAATAATGAATTTTTTAAAAACCTCCGTTTCCATATGTCACTTAAATTTTCACAAAAAAAAAAAACAACAATTCACGATAAACCCTTAAAGCCCTCTTTACCATTTCTAATTCGCATCAGAATCAGAACTTTGTTCGAAAGATCTCAACTCATAAGTGAACCACCACTTGTGGTATTTGCTTGCTTTTGGATGTTTTTCTTGTTTTTTTTTTTTTGTATTTTATTACGATGACGAGGTGCACTTGCCGTTAGCTGTGGATGCGACAAATGCTGTGGCAACAGCCGAACCGAAAGAAAGCACTTTCTCCGTTTCGTAGTACTGTTGGACATGTCTGCGCATGTCCCGCAGCCAGCTGTTCGATTATCCCGTCTATCGACAGCTGAAACTTAAAAAGCCAGGGCTGCATAACAAAAAGGACTAAACTATATACATTTTTACAAAAACTTTTTAGGAAAACCAATCTTTAAAGTTGACACAATAGTTCAATGTATTCCAATATTAATAAAAAAATATATATGTTTATAACTACATATAAATTTTAAAGTATTTATGGAATATATATCATTGTTTTCTTAATAGTTAATATAATATAACAAAATATCAACTTTTATTATAAACTAAGAGATATTGATTCGTTTCCATAGTTATTTTGCAGCCCTGGTAATCCAAGGAGCTGCAAGGATTTATGTGATTGATGGCTCGATAAATCAATAAATACAAATGATTGCCATTTAAAATTGTGGTTTATACAAGTAACAAATGACCACATATGTATCTTGGACACCCCCCACGTGCCATTGACATTTGTCCGGATAATGGTTCTTGAGTTTCTTACAAACATATCGGTGGAGGACATTGTGCCTGGAACCACATTTCCACAGGTGGTTTAGGTTTTGGTCTTAACTGCACAGAGACTGCGCATCTTGGGTTGTGTTTTAAATGCCATTAATTATATTTCGCATTGATTTAAATAGTTTAACTGACATAGTAAAATTAAGGGAAAAAATAATAAACAAGGTTCGGTTGCATATCAAAAAACCATTCTTTGCTCTCATGACATTGAAGACTAAAAAGTGCATGTGAAGATTCCAGTCCTAATTCCTATTTCACGGGCTTTGACTTCCAAAGACCGTCATTCAGGAAGTGGTACGTCTCGATGCCGATGCCCTTGTTCTTCGCCAGGCTATAAAGGTTTTAAAAAATTAATTAAATAAAATCGAAAATCTACAATGACATTGCAACTTTTTATATAAAAAAATAGGATTACTTACATTTCTTCTGTGGACAACGTGAGCAAGCCAATGGCCAAGGCATGCTCCTTGCCCTCCGCCATAATGGCCACCACAGTGTTCTTCTCCGCCGGAGTCATACACGCACCCGGCGACGTAAGACCCGGACACATAACGTTCGCACCACTGAGAACAAAGCGGATGGCGCCCTTGTCCACCTGCTGCATGGTCACAAAATAGGGGAATTTGTGCAGCAGGCGCAGAGTGGGCATCCAGGGACCATCACGATGGCGGAAGAACACCTGCTCGCCGGCTCCGTTCAACAAGAGCTCGATATGGTCATGGCTGGGAAGGAGGGAGTGTATTGCACAAGTATACTTAAGTAATGGCCATTATCCTTACCACTTTGCAATGCGGTAAGAGTCCTTCTTGGGCAGGATTAGGTCGATGTGTGTCTCTAGCTTCGGGTATGCCTCCAGTAGCTTCACACGAATGCCTTTCTGCACCGAAGACTTCAGCTGCTGAATGGACGAAATGCTGTCCTTCTCCTCGAACCTGAGAATGGATGTTTCTTCATTAGTTTCTTTAATATTAAATGCTTTGTAGTCCCGATCCCTGGAATACGTACTTTTTGAACATTTTCGTAAAAGATTCTTTGCGAATTTGGCAGCTGATGCAGATGAATGTGGACAAGCCGCAGAGTGACCAGAGGATAGGAAAGAACTTTCCCACAAAAAATGGGCAGTTATCGTTTTTTCCGATTTTGTTTTTAGGGTTTCCAAGTATTGAGTTATTTAAATTATAATTATATTTAAATTACTCATATAAATTCATGAATTATACACTTACATTTTTATTTTTAAAGTGCTAATATATTTTTATTCTGCAAGATAAATAAATTAAGTTAAAATATTTTCACATTCAAGATCTTAGCTCAATAAAATACACACCAGAGATTTATTTTATTTTTAAGATAAAAATTGAACTACAACAAATACAATCATATCAAATCAATGAAAGATTACACAGAACCATGTATCATCATTACCGCTTAAAATCTATCCTGGTAACACTATATATACATCCATCTTTATCTGCTTTGTTAAAAGATGATTGCTCTCCTTGTCTAATTCGGAATATGCCTTAAAAATATGTTAAAAATTATATCTAGCTTTGTGTTTTATTTGTTTATTGTTTAAAAATATTAAAATAGATTAATAAACAAATATTTTGTCCAAAAATTCTATTTGAAATGTGGTTCATCTAAATAATGAATCTCACAACAATATACATTTTTGAAAGAAATTTGAATGAAAAGTTTACAGAATAAAATTTATTCAAATTAATAATATAAAGAGCGTTATAAATGTATTTAAAAATAAAACATAAAAATATATTTAAATTAAGAGACATGTTTAGAATTTATTCTAATTTATTTAGTTTAAATTTAGTTTCTACTATATAAAATTTAGAAAACTATCGTTATCACCCAACGACCACGTATACGGTCACACTGATCACAACACCTTTGAAAGACGCTTCAGCCGTTTGACATTATCGTTCTTCAAACATCGGCTTCATTTTCAATCAGAAAATTGCCAGATCTGTGTTTTGTATATATATTTTTTATACCAATTGAACGCATGTAAATAATAAAAAAAAACTTGATCAACAAATCAAACCGAAGACATGAGCGAAATTATTGCGGAACAAGTACAGGAGGAGGTGGCGTCTTTGCCTTCGCCCCCGGACCCAGATCCGGTCTCACCTTCGGTCTCGTCTTCATCTTCGACATCGACTGTCTTAGATGGTAAGTTATGCCAAATATCTACAAAAGAAATCTTATGGTTGAGTTAAAATATTGTCTGTAGACAGTGAAGGCGAAATTCCATCACCACATGATATTTTGACTGAATTTGTGACTTCTATGGATTCGGGAGCGATGCGTTCCGAGCTGGCAGATGATTGCATTTTTCAATTCTTCGGACGTCATGTGCGCGGCGCCACTTCCATCATGGGCTATGTACGCAGCCAGCTGTTAGGAATTTTCCATCACGAGAGATTCGTAAACACACAGATTGTGTCCCAGGCCCATGAGCTGATACTTAAGGAGACTTTTGGTCGTTCATTTGATGCGGTGCGCCGTCGCATTTACGAGCAGAAGGAACAAGACCGTGCCACCACTCTACACTTACGTGCAGAAAGTGATGACGAGGAGGTGCCCAGCAGCAATCCCATTAACGTTCAATTGGTCACCCCACCACGTGCCTCCAGCGTATCCATGGATCAGCTTACGTTCATAGAGGCATGCGGCGTCCTCAAAAGACTGGAAAAGGGGACCTTCAGTGGGGGAATTATTCGTGGTGACCGGGTGCCCTTGCATCTGACCCTTGGCTATCGTCTTACCCCGTTCGTCTTCCAAAATCGTCGTATTATTGAGATCTGTTTGGCGGTTTACGAAAAGTATCCCTTAAAGCTGAATCGATCGACGTTGGAGCCAATGCCGGGGGTGGAGGAGATTTTCGGTGTAAGACGCCAGCGCAGCAATTCATTTACTAGTGCCACCTCCGAGACCGATGACGAGGACGAGGTAGTGCCTCAGGCCAGGGTGCCTCAGGGTCTCAGTGCCTGTCGTATTCTGTTTGCAAAAGGCTCTGACAAGGAAACTGATGAGGAGGATGATGAGGACGATGATCCCGCCCTGCTTGAAGACTCCCTGCACTCCCAGCCAGATCAGTCACTCGAAGAGGATGAAGAGGAGCCGGAACATCAAGGGGAGGAGCAACTGCAGCCGCAGCCAGAACCGAACACGGAACAAACTGAAGAGACCCCAGCATCATCAACATCAACCACCCAAGAGGATCCAAATGCCGTGGTGGCCACCACTTCAGCATACAATCCTGAAGAGGAAAAGTCTAGTATTTGCAGCCTGACACCACGCAAGCGCCCCCAAAGCACCAGCAATGTGTGCGAAGTTGAGCCAAAGCGCGGATCTATGTGCACTCCTCTGCGCACTCGCATGCGTTTCTAGATCGTTTGATCCGTTCCCATACCCAATACCCATTCATACCATATAAGTTTCCCACATCCCGACCAAATCCCAGTAGAAAATTGTTATTAAGGGTCGTGCATATCGAAGACCCCTGGAAATTTTTGGAATGTTACAAAACAAATAGGACGTTATTCGGGTGTTTCAAAATTGTCACCTGCAATTGAAGACTGAAATGCCCCGAACGGGGCGTAGGCTAGTCGCCAAATATGTATTCTATTTACATAAAACAATTAATTTTACACATATGTTATAGTTCGATGTTGGTGCAAATCCGTATCTTTTGCATATTGCAAAACAAACAAATTATGATATAGTGCATCAGGTATCCCACAATGGGGATATCTATCTATTAACGATTTGCACATTTGGACATTTAAATATCTAAAGACAATAATGAATTGTTATACAAATCATGACATATACCAGTTATATATTTGATATTGAAAATTCATTGCGTACAACAAATTACTGTTAATTAAAAAAAAATTTAACCAAAAATATATATATTTATTTATTTTTTTTTTAAATAAGGAAGGGTATTTATAGAGTTATGGGAAATACTTTATTCAAAATAGATTTAAAATGCTGACAAAGAGCTGGACATCTTGAAATTGGATTCCTTGTTGGCTAAACAGAGAGAAATATTTAACTATTTGTAATATAAATAAATATTTTATAGAAAATTAAATTAAACGTTTATCAAAACTTTTGATTAAAACACAATTGTATATTTTTTAGAGTTAATAAATAAAAGTAAGTCCTTTTTCCAGTGTAAAGCTTATATATTAAAGCTTTTTAAGGAATTATATTTCGACGACTGGCCCAGTCTGATTTGAAACTTTAAACAACGCGCTGCTTTTGGTCGCATTATTTATATTTTTTGTTTCTTTCTTAAAAATGTCTGAATTAATTTTAACTGAAATTAGTGATGGCATTAGAAACCAAATATTGAATGCCAATTTAGTTAAAATTTCGAATGATATAGCTTGCATTAAAATCCTTTTAATCATATTGGTTGTGGTGTCTGTTCTGGAAATGATTGTTAAATTTTATGTGACTTACAAGAGGAGTAAAAATCCGAAGATATTTCATAAAATTGATAAAGACCCACCTTCGCTGGCCCAAAGGCTAATGATGGAGAAATCGGATGAGCCAGAAAATGATGATTATATTCAACCAGAATAGTTTTAAAATTTAAAAAATTGGAACTATTATCTATTTACACTTAAAAAATATTTCAAATTAAACATATAAGAAAAATATATAAAAACCATGTTAAATAATTTTATTATTACTTTTTCCATAAGACACAATTGTACATTTTTAGAATAAATAAATAAATTAAAGTCAATTATCCTTTTTCCAGTGTATTGCCTACAATTTAAAGCTTTTTGAGGAATTATTTTCCGACGAGTCCGACAGTCTGAATTGAAACTTCAAGCAACGCGTTGTTATATAGGGTTTTGTCAAGTTATTCCTATATTTTTTAATTAAAAAAAAGCTTATAAAAATCATAATGATGACTGAAATTGATATAGACTTTAGAAACAGAATCTTAAATGAAAATTTAGATCAAATTTCGTCTGATTTAGTTCGCATTAGAATCCTTTTAATCATTTTGGTTGTGGTTTGTGGCCTTGAAATGATTCTTAAATTTTACGGAAATTACAAAAAAAGTACAAATCCAAAGTTTTTGGATGAAATTAAAAAACAAAACGAACCGCCTTCTTTGAGCCAAAGACTTATGATGGAGAAATCAGAGGAACCAGCCCACGAAGACTATATTCAACCAGATACGCTTGATTTAAATAATATATAATATTATATAATATAATATAATTACACAAATCGATTTAATATAAAACAAAAATGTTGATTCCGCGGATTTTGATGCCATCATTAATCAGAAATTACAAAAAAAGTCTCCTTTTCTTTTGCGCATTGAATTTCGAAGACGAAACTTTTCCACAAACGTATAATCTCAGATTTATGCAAGTTCGCAGTTTGCCCGGAACCTCGCTATAAAACGGTGTGTATACCTTTTAATAAATATTTAAAAAAAATTATAATAAAGTCTCTTATATTATTTAGTTAATTGATAAAAATATGCTGAGCCCTTCCAAGGAAACGGTGGAAAAAATTACAAATGGTTTTTCCATAATTCTGTATGTGATGTGCCTCTGGGTCTTATTGATTATCATAAGTTTCGTTGTCAAGGCCTATGAGATTCTCAAAAAGATGCGGAAAATGCAAAAAGAAGGAACCAAACCAGAGAAAACAATCAAATCAAAGGAAAACCCTCAAGCCAGTGCTACCAATTAAGAAAATTTTCAATTGAAACTAAATATATTTGGTTAGAAAATAAATAGATTAGCCAAGACACAAATCATTTCAAGGTTAGGGTCTTGGCTTTTAATGTTTCTTAAAATACTGTTCCTATTGATTTTTATGGCAAGGATTATATTTAAGTGGGAACAGACTTTATAAATCGATTTTTTTAATAAAATTATAATAAATATAGTTTTTAAATAATACATTTTTGTACGGAACTATTATAATAACCTTATTTAATTAAAAAAATATAAATCTTTGTAAGATATACCCCAAAAAATATATCAGAGCTCTCTTGGACCATAAATCTTTAGCCCACTAAGATCACCTGATATATTGGATATTGGAACGTTGATTTCTATGGATGGACCTTGATCCGGAGCTTCATGAATAATGCCTGCCACCTATGTTCTTCATATAGCCCCGATAATACCGGCAGAGATCAGACACAAAGAACCTAATAAATCGCTGTCTATTTCCATCCTATATAGAGACAAGAGAGTCTCTCTATAGAAGGAAAATCCATTTGATTACAAATGTATGAATGGGCAGGAAAATGGCATAGTAAGTGGTTCAGGGTGGTGTTGTTTTTTTTTTTTTGGATGGTGGGTGGTTTGGGCATTAAGACATCAAATAGACAACAAAGGGCGAAATGGAGGAGGACCTGGCGAAACCCTGACAGCAGTTCGAATCGTTAAGCTAGCCAAGTGGAAAAGGCAGACCAGAGACCCAGAGAGATACCCAATATGGGAATCTGGCAGAAACCCAACATAACCCCCGACTCCACCTGCTAGATGGTCTGCTCTCTGGTGCTTGAAATTAGATTTCTGTTCCTGCGCCGTTGGCCGGAATTCGTTACGAGGTTTACGGCACACGCTCCTCATTTAGACCCCAACTCCAATAGAAAGCCCCAAAAAATTATACACTTGAAAAAAATATAAAAACAATATATAAACTTAAAGAACTATATATTTTTTAAGCTAAGAAAACGTATAGATTTAAAAAAAAACTTTTAGCATCTTTTTAGTAACTCTATTTTCTTGCAGTGTCTTTTGAGAACAGAGCTGTTCTAAGCCTGGCAAATCCTTGGGTTAGCTTCTTGTGATTTATCTTTCAAGTTGCAACCAAAGGGGGAGGCGCATCCCCCATATGTCAGTGCCCACCTAAAAGGGGGATAGCCAGGGCCGGGCGCCAAAGGTGGAGAATCAATGTTTATGAGCGGATTAAGTTTTTGTCTTCGAAACAAATTCCATTTGATTTTAATGAGCCCAGAGATTACATTCAACAGAGAAAGGGAGAAACTAAATTTGAAACTCAAATTGTTGAATGAAAAATGTCTTTTTAGGTTTTCTCTTTTTTTTTAGTTTTTTTTTTCTTAATTGAAAAATGTCGCCACACAGGCAGACAATTTGACAATCCATCAGGAATATATAGAATATATATAACCCCCCACTACTCGATCTGATTCGGAACCACTTAGTGGAGCATTTTCTAATTTATGCTGCCAGCGTTGCCGCCTTGTTCTCAATTAGTTGCAACTGCAACAAGCAACGCGCAACATTCGAGGCGGCTGTTTGCCCCAGGGACCTGATGGTGGAGAGTGGGGCGAGTGGCGCGACGTCTCCATTTACAGTTATAGAAGACAAAACCGAAAACTATTCGTCTAGCATTACACGATACTTAACCGCCGATTATTTATGTCCCTGTCATCGCCTCTCAGCTGCTCCTCCATCGTCCCCACTCCCTCCTCTCAAAACATGCAAAATTGTATCTGTAGGGGGGTGGGTGGCTGTTATAATTTTGGTTAATTGAAACCTGTTGTAAATCACAAATCATATTGACTGACGCAGCGCCCTCTCCCCCCTAAAGCGAAACAGATACTGAAAATGCAGCAGATGTCGTCGGTTTTTCATATTTTCTTTCTTTATTTTGGTGGTGGGGGGCATTCTTTCAGCGAAGAAAGCTTCTTGAAGACAGCTGTCGGTGGTGGAGAGTGGGGGAAGAATTTTAGGAGGAGGCGGAGAGGAGGCTCATAGGGAACTTTGTGAAAATTTTTTAAAATATACAGAACAAAGTTCTTATCAAAAATTGGATGAGAATTGTTCAAAATACAGCCACCGGTCTATAAGAACTGTAAGGATATCTGGTTTTTTAGGGGTTCTACCAGAAAAATAATTTACTTTTTTGAAATTCCATAAAAAAAGAAAAAAAATTAATTTAAAAAATAGCGCCCTCCTCCTCGATTCTCAAAGGTTGCACTCAAGCAAGCGCCGAAATATTATTTATTTTGTTTATTATTTATGCTGTTTTTTAATTTAAATTGAAATAATATGTTTGCTGTTGTAATAACGATGTTGCAATGTTAATTCTTTTATGCTATTCCTCTTAAAAATCGGGTAAAAATTATAAAGATATAGGCATTGTTTTCGGTCATATGGGAGTAAGTTTTTTTTTTTATGAATCCCCTGCTCCTTTTTGAACCTTCAACCCCATCGCTGAGCCATGTTAACGCATGAAAACCTCATCAAGAATCCAAAAGCTATTCCAGGTCATAAATTTTGCCCTCAAACGGAATTTTAAGTCGATTTCGGTTGATTACTTCATTTTGGGGAAGTGAAATGCAACAGACTAATGGTGAAAATATTGCCATTGATTTTGCGACAAGTGGATTCTGCCCTTCGAATCATTGTTGTCCTTTAATTTTTTTTTGCGCATTTGTTGTCAGAGCATTAAGCCAGCCCTAGTGTATTTGTTAATTACACAGAGAGAAAAGTTTAGAGTGGAATTTTTAAAGAGATTGGAAGCATAAAACTATGAAAGAAAGACACTTCTTGAACTTCAGAAACTTCATAATTTGTAATAAAATTTTTTGAAAAACTCTATTTCTTTTTGTATGTTTTTTTCTAAGTGCAGAGTCCTATGTCCTTTGTCCTTTGCCTCAATGGCCATTTCCGATTGTCGAGGGTGTCATTTGGTAATTGTTACAAGCTGCCGCATATTTGGACAAGCAACTCGCAGGACTCGAAAACAAACAAATGACTCTCGAGGAGTCGAGATGTGATGTTGAAGTGGTGAGGATATTGCGAGGATTTTGTTATAAGGATTGGATCAACCCTCATGAATGGGTGATGCTGCTGCTGGTGGTAGTGGTGGTAGCTCTCATTTGTAA